AATATCTTAAAAAAAAAAGGGGGTTCCAGGATGGATAAATGCCAAATTTGTGAACTTGCTATTATATCACAAGATTAAAAATGATCTCTTTGGGGCACCTGAGTGGCTCAGTCGGTTAAGCATCTGACTCTTAGTTTAGGCTCAGGGTCGTGAGATCATGTCCCCACATCGGGCTCCATGCTCAGTGAGGAGTCTGCTGAAGTTTCTCTTTCTTTCTCCCTCTGCCCCTTCCGTGCTCACACTCTCTCTCTAAAATAAATAAATAAATCTTACCAAAAAAAAATTTTTTTTCTTTAAAAGAAAGGGACATCAAGATTCTGCCCAGGCATCGAAGGTAAAAATATTGATAAACCTGATTCAACCTTGTGCCTCTCGCTCTTCCTCTTGTATTTCTGAAATACTCTATCTGCACCACTGGGATTTTTTTTTTTAAGATTTTATTTGACAGAGAGAGTGTGAGCAAGAGAGAGCACGAATGGGGGGCGGGCAGAAGGGGAGGGAAGAGCAGACTCTCAACTGGGCAGGGATCTCAATGTGGTTCGATCCCAGGACCCCGGGATCATGACCTGAGCCGAAGGCAGACGCTTTTTCAACTGAGACACCCAGGCGCCCCCAATGGGGTATTTTAGAGGGCTTTACCCAGGGCCACAGATCCCAAGGTTCCCAGATTAATAACTTAAAAAATGTTATGGTGAGATTTTGCAGTGAGTTTCAAAGGAAAAGCAATTTTAAGTTGTCCCTGGCTGATACGATAAACTTCATTCTTATCGACACGATTTCAAACAGCAGGATGATTATAATGAGATGCCAGCCAGCTCTCTGAAAACCAAATCAAATCACTGTGGATTTTGAGAAAGCTTCAGGATGACATGTTAGTGCATCAGGAGAAATACCCAGAACTGCCCATATTCCGGTTTTGCTTTTAGTTTCTCTTCTCTAATCTTAGATATGTTCATACAACGACCTGAATCTACCCCAATCTGTAAATGGCTATATTCCACAGGCTGACTTTAGTCCTCCCTTGGAACTACAATGACCTGACAAAATCTTGCTAAAAAGCAGAAGAGGATTTAGCTGTAATGATCGTCTCTCTTCATCCAATTTCCCCAAAGTTTTAGAACCTAATCGCCTAAAAGCTATCCTGCTGGGGAGAGTAGAAATTATAATCGGGGGCGCCTGGGTGGCTCAGTTGTTGGGCGTCTGCCTTCGGCTCAGGTCATGATCCTGGGGTCCTGGGATCAAGCCCCACATCGGGCTCCCTGCTCGGCGGGAGGCCTGGTTCTCCGTCTCCCACTCCCCCTACTTGTGTTCCCTCTCTCGCTCTCTGTGTCAAATAAATAAATAAATAAACAAAATCTTAAAAAAAAAAAAAAGAAATTATAATCAGACAGTATATAAAAGGTGGGCCAAGCGAGCTCTGGCAGTGGCCACAAGACCTCAGTAACGACTGAAAACCCACAGAGAAAACAGAACAATCTGGAAAGTACAGCTGTGGCTTCCAGCTAGAATTTCTGAAAGTTAACTCTTTCAGCACCAAACAGTCATTCAAGTATAAAGGGATTCCTACTTGATCTTTCACTAAGGAAAAGCCGTCCCTTCGCTTCCGTTCCCGGCACGCAGGGCAGAAACCATGAGAAGCGTGCACCGTGTGACAGCCGTGGACACCTGAGGACTGAAGCACTCTGGAGACGTCCGCGCTCCCACCAAACCTGACTTTAAAAAGCGTTTACACCAGACAGGCAAGAGGAAACGTCAGGCTGCACAGACCTCCCTGGGAGGACGATGAAGCGCACTTACCAAAAGCACTTCCTTTTCCCTGCGCTGGCTCCTCGGTCCGTTTTTGACTGGTGGGGTCTTTTCCGACTCTCACCGATTTCGGCCGAAACCATCTTGCTGGAGGCAGCCTGCATACCTAAGCGGAAATGTTCCCAACTCAGTTATGCCGTCAGAGGTGAGTATAACTGGAGACGTTACCAAGGGCATGGACGGCAAACACAGCCACATTGCAGTCTAAAGCTCGAGTCTGTTAACATTCCAAAATTTAATATGGCTAAAACGAGATTGGACTCAAGTTTACACAGGTTCAAAGTACTGAGGATTCGGGCTCTGGAACCAGGTTTTGAGAACACCAAAGGCCAATCTGTAGCCCTGGACCTGACGGGTGCCTCCCGGCGCCCCCAGACCTGATGGGCCATCCCCTGCTACTCACTGCTTGTACAGTGTTACGTGATAACCTTTTGATTGAAAGATTCCTTATTATTCAACGGAACCCACAAGAGCCCTAGCATAATGCTTTGGATGCTAAAAAAAAAAAAAAAAAAAAAGTTAATCATTCCCATTAAAAACCATTAGAAAAAAACAAAACAAAAAAAACCGGACCTAAAACCAGAAGCATGCAAACAAGGCCAACACCCCTGCGGACTTGGTGTATCCCCACGAAGCACGAGTGTTCCTACCTGGGGCCCATGGGCACCCAGAATTCCAGAGTCAAGTATACGACATACCTCATGTGTGCTCTTTCTTTTCTGGGGTATGAGGCATACTGTTTATTGCTATTATTACTTTGAAAGATTTTACTTATTTTATAGAGAGTGCATGTGCGCGCAGGGCGCAGAGCAGAGGGAGAGGGTCAGGCCGACTCCCCGCCGAGCACGGAGCCCAATCCCACGACCCCAAGATCACGACGTGGGCCGAAATCCAGAGTTGGACGCCGAACTGACGGAGCCCCCCAGGCGCCCCTGTTCTGGGTATTATCGAGGGGAGAGGTCCCACGGCTTTCCCCCGATTCTCAGTCTGTGACCCATGAAGACTCTGGAGAGACAGTGCGGCTTCCGCAAGGCGCCCTCACGCTCACCTCTGAGCACGGAGTCCTCCAGGCGCTCGGCCATGTCATGGCACTGCTGCTGGTATGCGGGGCTGGCGAAGCAGTGCCGGGGCTCCGCGAGCTTCCGCTGCAGCCGCTCCAGGCGCTTCTGCTCCTTCTCGGCCTCCCGCTCAGCCTGCTGTCTCACCCACTCGGCCATTCTGGGACAGGCAGGAGACATGGCGCTGACCAGACAGATCATGCACACGCCTGCTGACACATGACGAGCCCCCACCCCCGACGAATCCACACTGTCCCGGGCCTGCCGGGAACCCCTTAGAGAGGCGCACCGGGCTTACCACCAGCACGCTGGGAGGGACCCCCTCAAGCCCGACGGGAATTATTAAATGACGGAAAGAGCTACGGCCGAGAAGGAGTGAGAGCACTCGTCTTCCAAGGCTACAGCTGGACATGCACGGCACGTGGACAACCACCACAGCCAGCAACGTGCGTTGCTATCGTCAAAGAAATTAACACAGCGGGCAGCTTACGCTTTCTCATGGTTGACATCTCGTAGCCTCCTTCCGCTGAGGTCCCGGCAAGCTTCTCGATTGGTTGTCTTCTCAATCTGAGCACCAAGCGCCCGGAGCATAGATCCAAACCCTGGGGCAAATATATTTGGAGAAAGCACATTAAAAAGCGTTCCAGGGGGGCGCCTGGGTGTCTCAGTCGGTGAAGCGTCTGCCTTCGGCTTGGGTCGTGGTCCCAGGGTCCTGGGATGGAGCCCCGCATCTTCTCCCTCTCCCACGCCCCCCCGCTTGTGTTCCCTCTCTCGCTGTTCAAATAAATAATATCTTAAAAAAAAAAGGGGGTTCCAGGATGGATAAATGCCAAATTTGTGAACTTGCTATTATATCACAAGATTAAAAATGATCTCTTTGGGGCACCTGAGTGGCTCAGTCGGTTAAGCATCTGACTCTTAGTTTAGGCTCAGGGTCGTGAGATCATGTCCCCACATCGGGCTCCATGCTCAGTGAGGAGTCTGCTGAAGTTTCTCTTTCTTTCTCCCTCTGCCCCTTCCGTGCTCACACTCTCTCTCTAAAATAAATAAATAAATCTTACCAAAAAAAAATTTTTTTTCTTTAAAAGAAAGGGACATCAAGATTCTGCCCAGGCATCGAAGGTAAAAATATTGATAAACCTGATTCAACCTTGTGCCTCTCGCTCTTCCTCTTGTATTTCTGAAATACTCTATCTGCACCACTGGGATTTTTTTTTTTAAGATTTTATTTGACAGAGAGAGTGTGAGCAAGAGAGAGCACGAATGGGGGGCGGGCAGAAGGGGAGGGAAGAGCAGACTCTCAACTGGGCAGGGATCTCAATGTGGTTCGATCCCAGGACCCCGGGATCATGACCTGAGCCGAAGGCAGACGCTTTTTCAACTGAGACACCCAGGCGCCCCCAATGGGGTATTTTAGAGGGCTTTACCCAGGGCCACAGATCCCAAGGTTCCCAGATTAATAACTTAAAAAATGTTATGGTGAGATTTTGCAGTGAGTTTCAAAGGAAAAGCAATTTTAAGTTGTCCCTGGCTGATACGATAAACTTCATTCTTATCGACACGATTTCAAACAGCAGGATGATTATAATGAGATGCCAGCCAGCTCTCTGAAAACCAAATCAAATCACTGTGGATTTTGAGAAAGCTTCAGGATGACATGTTAGTGCATCAGGAGAAATACCCAGAACTGCCCATATTCCGGTTTTGCTTTTAGTTTCTCTTCTCTAATCTTAGATATGTTCATACAACGACCTGAATCTACCCCAATCTGTAAATGGCTATATTCCACAGGCTGACTTTAGTCCTCCCTTGGAACTACAATGACCTGACAAAATCTTGCTAAAAAGCAGAAGAGGATTTAGCTGTAATGATCGTCTCTCTTCATCCAATTTCCCCAAAGTTTTAGAACCTAATCGCCTAAAAGCTATCCTGCTGGGGAGAGTAGAAATTATAATCGGGGGCGCCTGGGTGGCTCAGTTGTTGGGCGTCTGCCTTCGGCTCAGGTCATGATCCTGGGGTCCTGGGATCAAGCCCCACATCGGGCTCCCTGCTCGGCGGGAGGCCTGGTTCTCCGTCTCCCACTCCCCCTACTTGTGTTCCCTCTCTCGCTCTCTGTGTCAAATAAATAAATAAATAAACAAAATCTTAAAAAAAAAAAAAGAAATTATAATCAGACAATATATTCCTCAAAAAGAATAAAAGAAAAAATACTCAAAACAAGGAAAGTGAATAAAGGATTTCATATGGCAGAACGAGACCCACACACCCCAGAGGCCTGCCCAGGCCTAGAGACTGCGGCTGTGACACACAGAGGTAGCCAACATGCAGGTCCTACCTCCTTTTCCACCACAGAGCCTGGGTTCCAAACTATACACGGCGCCATGCCGCACTCCGTCACCGGTGTCCACGAGGGATCCATTGCACTTCACAAAGAAGCATTCCACTGGAACATCCTAGAGACAAGTTTGGGGTTTTTAAATGAGGTTTAAATGGGGTTTTTAAAAGTTTCCTGCAGGAAGGAGTCTAGCCCATTATGTTTTTATTACTCTGGTTATAAGCACATAGCGTGTGTTCCATTAGTTATTTGTTGGACTGAAAATCCGAAGGAAAAAAAGTCACTTCCTAGGACTTACTCGGGGTATGACTTTTTCCTAACACCTCATCATGATATGCACGAGAACTCGTCTTTCAGGTGAAGATAAGAACCACAGGATCCCTCTCTTCTTCTCTGATAGGAAATCAGAGTCAAGGTGGAAAACTACACGGGGCTCAGACCCAGTAACTCTGCAAGGCCCTTTTTCTCTTGACTTTTTTTTAAACCAGTAATATCAAGTTGCACGAGTTTAAAAGTGACAATACTGTCTGAAAACTGTAGATAAGGACAAGCAGGGGGAGGGAAGGCATCAACGGCATGGGCCGCCTACACCCACATCAGCTGTAGCAGGTGGAAGGCCAGCTGGTCTCTTCTGCCCATGTCCCCAAGTTACAGCAGAAGTCCAAGTACCCCCACACCCACTCTGTAGATTTCAAACATTCTCAGAGCAAGTGATGAACAGAACATATGAAAGAAGACTCACACCAACAGAAAGGAAAAACGCACAACTGGTATCTTCCTGAAGTGAACACAATGAACGTTCGTTCCAGACCACAACCCACGGCTATTTCAAGGGGACCCATCTGTTCATTCAACAAATACTAATCAAGTCCCTACTATTTGCCAGGTACTTTCACGTGTTGGGATACCGCAGTGAATAATACAGCGAGTACAAGCCCTGCCTCATGGAGCTTACGTTCTGGCGGGGAAAGACAGAACGACCAGATGAGTGCTATCTGATGGCCACGGTGATGGGCAGGCTGAAGGGGATGGCATGTGTGGATGGCTGAGCCAGTCATCTGTGTAACACATACAGTTAGTCGAGAAAAGCCTCTCTGATCAAAGGTCATTTTAGCAGAGGATGAAGGAAAGGGAGAGAACAAGCCACGTGGCTATCTGGGGGAAGAGCATTGCAGAGGGAAAGAGGGGCAGCAGGAATAACCCCAGAGTATTCATGGAACAGCAACCCAGCCAGCGTGGCTGAAAGACGTCTGCCAAGGGGATAAGAAGGCCTTTAAAAGCCCGTGTAAGAACCTTGGGTTTCACTCTGAATAAAGCCACTGCGGCGTGTGGCACAGATTGAGAGAGGAGTTATATTCTTAAAGGATCACTCTCATTGTTAAACTGGAAATAAGACTAGAGAAGCAGAGACATCAGTGACATCGGCTAGGTGAGCAATGAAAGCCATTTGTCTCAGGAGTAGTGACAGAAGGGGATGAGAAACGGGGGTGAAGTCCCCTAGGGCTCTGGAGGTGGGCAGTGAGAGCCACAGAGCAACGAGAGGAGTCCAAACATTTGGCTTGACTAACAGGAAACAGAGTTGCCATTTGTTAAGAGTGAGAAGCACGTTTGGGGGAGAGTTCCAGTCTCATTTTGGATGTGTTGGTTTGAAAGGTCTTACAGCCACATGGAGATGCTGAGGAACCTGGTGGGGACACAAGTCTGCAGTCTGGGGACGAGGTCTGGGCTGGAGATTTCCATTTGGAAGACGTCAGCACGCCGGTAATACTCACCGCCCTGAGAATGGATGGAGTGTCCTGCAGGAGAGAGGAGGCTTCGGAACAAAGATCAGAAGACCCAGTCGCGGCTGCTCCAAGGTTCAGAGATCAGAGAGACAAGGAAGCAGCAGCAAGAGGAAGTGGAAGGGAGGCTAGTGAGGTGGACGTGTGGACAAGTGAGCAAAGTGTGCCAAGGAGTGAATGTTGGAGTATGCCCACAGATGCCGACAGGCCCAGAGACAGGAGGACTGGAAACCGACCATCGGGTATGGCACGCATGGCAGGAGGTGGTCTGCCGGAGTGACGGGAACAAAACCCTGACTGGAGTACATTCCAAAGGAGAAGTTTTCTGTTCAAGGATATTTTCTATATAGAAAATTAGAGAAAAGGAGGTGACAGCTGAGAGGGATGGGGGCTCAAGTCTGCGCACTGGCAGGAATGATCCAGGAAAAAGGGAAGACACCGGGAAATGCAGTGGAGAGAAAACCAACGCCAAATAAGGTAAGAGGAGACGGTATGGTGCCAAGTGGAAGCTAACTGCAACTCATCTGTAGAATAAGGATGGTTCGTTCACAGTAACGGAAGAAGAGAAGGCAGAATGTACGGCAACGAGGTAGGGGCACTGGTATGAGGACGAGGAAGGTCTCTCTTGACTGCCTGTATTTTCTCACTGAAAACAAAGTATGGGCCTCGAGATGGGAGAAGTACTGGAGATTTTATTAAAGAGAGAAGAGGTCGGAGAGTCACCAGGAGAATGAGAGCGATGAACTCAGCACTGCTTCCCAAGCCTTTTCACACCATGCTGTAGAGAAAACATATCCGGGGGACACGGGGAAATGAGCAAAGCTCCTGAAGCACCCCCAGATTCTGCCCCACTGCCAGAGGGCTGCAGCAATCAGTATTTCCACAGTCCTCCACCCCAGCGGAAGCCCACTCTGGCCTGGAGAGATATACAGCAGAAGAGCAACGCATCACGAAGGTCGTCCGTGTTTGTGAATTTACGGTAAGACTGATTTGTGTCACTGCCCAGAGAGCAGGCAGAATCGATGGATTTAAGGTAACTGGCGTTTTCCCAGCCAAATGCGCTAGCAGGAGAGAGGAGCAAAGGAGCTCAGACTACATGCAGTCATGTGATTAACAGGAAGGGCTATTCCTGTCTGTAAAATACTGTCCACTTTTAAGAGTTGTACAGATTAAATAAGGTATGTATGTACCTCGTGTATTTTTACGTTTATGAATGAAAAGCTACTTGAGCTTCTCTTAATATTTTCTGTGCCTAGTGCGTATGTATTTCTAAAAATCTAAACAACCTTAAAAGACATTAATGTGAAGGCAGAAAGATTATTATATACACCATACTTCGTTTCCAAACAGAATTGCTTGTTAAGACAACTGATCAACAAAATTGCATTTTCTACTTAAGATTCTTATCAATAATCACTAGTAGGAAAAAAGGATAAAGGAAATTTAGAATCAATTTAAGGGTCTTTGACCATCTGCGTTTTATACAGTACTTCAAGCACAAAGTAGTGTTCGTTTTAGCCCAATCAGCCTAAGGCCACCAGAGACAAATGTGTAGTTCACGAAAGTCAAATTCACTGACTCAGTGCAACAAGGCGGGGGGGGGCTGCACACAAGAGGAAGCCTTGGGCGTCTCACAACCAACAAAAAACAATTATTATAGGATTTGGGGCAAGGGTGGAGTTTAGGTGAAATTTAAATGAAAGTGTTGTGAGAGGCTCAAAACAAAGCAGAGCTGTGTGTAAAAAGGGGCAACATCAGGTGGAGACTGTGAAGTAGATTGGATCCAGACCCGTTTCCTTGGAAACGACAAAGGTAAGATAAATATGGAATGTTGTGTTCAGAAACTCCTAATCCGAAGCTCTGCACCTGGGCTGGAAATTCAGAGTGCTTTCTCTATATCAAAGTGACTCAGTCTCAAGGCAAGAGTGGGATGCTTCATTCTCACTGATAAAATTTCAAACAGCAAAGTGTCTTGTAGTCTATAATTTTCCGGATCAAGGTTTCTTAGTGAATCAGAAAGCAGCAGACTTCCAAGGGAGTCATTATGACATTTTACAACTGCACATGTCCTCGGGAGAAATACTGTTTCCTATTAACTTTGCAGCTGGCTGTTATCTGTGTCTGTTACCCTAGCCTGAAGAACAGCAAGGCAGATTTTTACTTTTTCTGTGGACTCCGACACTGACCTCATCCTGTGTCAGAATAATTTTGTTTCAGAACGCACAGATGTGAAATTGAGCTATTTTAATTTCTTCCAGTATCTCATCAAATGTCCTTTTATAAGTTTCTTGTTTCTGTTCACAAATGTTATGGTCCTATTTCTTGAGTACCTGACAGAACCATCCATTTATTTTTCTTCCTTCCTATTTAAAATTATTTTTTCCAATACTCTCATAATTAAGATCCTATTTTTTCTGGTCATTTTGGATCAACTGTCAAGAGATAAGAGTTATTTTCAGACATATTAAAATCCATCTATTTTGTAAGATATTTCCCCACCCAGATGGTCAAAAACAGTTCTGACAGTTTCTAGACTGGACTGCAGTGTAGAAAGGCAAATGGGGAGGCTGAAAAACCACATTATTTGCAAAGACACATTGCTTTTTCATGGACCCGTACAAATAGAGATTCGGTTTCCACTGCAGTGTTAACATGTGTGAAGCCTATAAATAACAAGCAGAAGAAACAGACTAGGGAAACAGGGATGAAGTGAGGTTATAAAGAAAAACATACTAGCTGCCATCTTGCATCCCCACGTGTGTGCACCCAACCTCAGCTGGTCCACCCGAGACCCCCTGAGCGCCAACCCTATTCCCCGGCGCGGTCCCACTTGTGCTCCAACAAGATGAAAGAAACTATCATGAACCAGGAGAAACTTGCCTAACTGCAAGCACAAGTGTGCACTGGTGGGAAAGGAACTGCTCGCCAAAAGAAGAAGGTGGTTCACAGAACGGCTACAGCAGATGATAAAAAACTTCAGTTCTCCTTAAAGAAGTTAGGGGTAAACAATATCTCTGGTGTTGAAGAAGTGAATATGTTCACAAACCAAGGAACAGTGATCCATTTTAACAACCCCAAAGTTCAGGTGTAGCTTGCCGAGAAAACTTTCAACATTCAGGCCACGCTGAGACAAAGCAGCTGACAGAAATGCTACCCAGTATCTTAAACCAACTTGGTGCAGACAGTCTGACTAGTTTAAGAAGACTGGCTGAAGCTCTGCCCAAATAATCTGTGGATGGAAAAGCACCACTTGCTACCAGAGAGGAGGATGATGATGAAGTTCCAGATCTTGTGGAGAATTTTTTTTTAACTATTTTATTTATTTATTTTTAAAGATTTTATTTATTTGACAGAGAGAGCACAAGCAGAGGGAGAGAGAGGGAGAAGCAGGTTCCCTGCTGGGAAAGGAGCCTGATGTGAGACTCGATCCCAGGACCCTGGGATCATGACCTGGGCTAAAGGCAGCCGCTTAACCGACTGAGCCACCCAGGTGTCCCGAGATCTTGTGGAGAATTTTGATGAAGCTTCCAAGAATGAAGCAAACTGAACTGAGTCAACTTCTGAAGAACATAAAACTTGAAGAAGTTACTGGGAGCTGCTCTTTTATATTATGACTGCTTTTTAAAATTTTGTTCATGGATCTGATAAAATCTAGATCTCTAATATTTTTAAGCCCAAGCCCCTTGGACACTGCAGCTCTTTTCAGTTTTTGCTTATACACAATTCATTCTTTGCAGCTAATTAAGCTGAAGAAGCCTGGGAATAAAGTTTGAAACAAGGTTAATAAAGTTCTTTGCCTAGGATACGGTTTTATTTTTTATTTCATTGACACTGATTTGTACACAGAAAGCAAAGTTGTTTATAGAAAGCTAATCATGGCATGTAATATGGCTGGTAATTGATGAAATTTGATTAAAGATTTTAAATGGCCGTATAATATAAAAAAAAAGAAAAAAACATACTAGATCAAGAACCAAAATTAAAATTAGATTTGGGGAGATCACCAAATTCTTTGGGTAACTGAACAGGTTTAATGTCTCACTGCTGGGAGAAGCTAGCTGGCTTGATAATTCCGTAAACCACACATGTAACTTTAGAAATCCGTGACAGTTTTTCAAAAATATGCACGGGCAAATGTGACCATCAGAGGATTAGTGAAAACAGCTAAACGACAGACCCCGAGAACCCACGCCCTCCAGAGGACACGTGTGTGAGTGCTCGGACCAGAGACCAGATGAACCCACTGCCCTCCCCAACCATCCTCTGGCCTCGGTCTGGACATGAAAATACTCCTCTACGTTGAAGCCAACAGGGCTGTGCAGTGGACAACATGCACATCATAGAAGCACAAGATGAATGCAACGAAAACGGAAGGAAATGCGCCCTAAAAGCCATCTGCGCCAAATGCCTCATTTGCATACGAAGAAACAACGCCAAGGGTTTCTCTTCGGCCACACCGAGGGCGGGACTAAGCGCCTGTGAGCCGAGGGGTTCCCCCTCCTGTAGGGACACGAAACCACCGCCACCCCAAAACAAAAACAAAGTAAAGCCTCAGCATCAGTCTGAAGCACCTTAAAACTGGAGAGCCCTCATCCTCAAAAACTGAAAACCCCAAGGAACGGACGCGCCCCCGACCCATCCTCTCCCCACCCAATCCTGCCTCCAGTCCGCGTTGCCCTTCCTTCCAGGAAGCGCGAGCCTCACCCGATCTTGGCAGTGTCGGTGGATCACATCTCGTACGGAGCACCGGGCCGAGGCACATCGCACTGCCTCGCAACCGAAGCCGGGACAGCGAACCCACACCTGCGGCGCGCCGTCCGCCATTTCAGCTAGCTCCGGGACCTCCGGGTCCCGGGGACAAGGCACCGCCCCTCGCCCAGCGCGCCTTGATGGCGTCACGGGGCCTTCCGCGCCCCGCCCCCACATCTTCCGCTCGCCCCGCCCCTCCCCTGGGGCTAGTCACGTGAGCCGGGCCCCCGCGCCGTGCCGTGCAGCGCAGCGCCAGCGGGAGAGGCGAACAGGAAGGGCCTGGAGGAGGCCGATAAGGTGGCGGAGCGCGAGGGCGAGGCGTTGCTAGGAGACACTGCTGGGGCGGAGCTCGAGGGACTGTGTATAAAAGGCTGGCCCGGGGTCCGGTTTCGAGCGTTCTGGCCGCAAGCGATAAGGTGGTGGCGAGGCGCCGCCCCGCAGGCTCCGGTCGCGTCCCTGGCGTTGCGCGGTCATTTTTGGGTCGCGGGGAGCAGAGACTGGAGGAGGAGCGCTCCCTGGGGGCGCGAGGAGAGACGCTGCAGCCTCGGAAGCGGTGGGGGCGGCCTCCTCGGCCCCGGAGACGTCCCCCGCCCCCCCCAGGGGCCCGGGAGCGGCGGCGGGGGCTCCCCGGTGGCCAAGCGCGCGCCCCCTCGGTCTCTGCCGGCCGCGCGCGGTGCCTTCTTCCTTCCTCCTGCTGGCGCCGTGTGCAGGGTGCTTGGCGGCGAGTGAGTCCCGCGGGGGTGAGGGGGGCCCAGGGCCATCGGGCTGCCGGTCCGCAGCCCCCACACTCGCAGTGAGGACGCCTGGCCGAGGAAACTCCACTGAGGCTCCGAAGTCGCTTCACTGTGGCGGTGGGAGCACGACTGGAAAGCCACGGGCTGTGAAGTTAGGGATTCTGACTGTTGTCTTCGCCTCACTCGCCCTATAGGGAAACAGGGAAAGAAAGGGCCTCGGTGGGACTTCTTCTGGCGCAAGAAAAACGACCCCAAATGCTGAGGCCGTGGTGCCTGGAGACCAGCGCTTTGCAAAGTGGCTCCCGCGGTGACCGTGGCTGCACGGAGTCCCGGGGTGCCTCACCAAGTACAGAAAGGCAGTCCGGACCCTGGACAGCTCGAGCCCCCCTATACTCCCCTCCCCGCTCTCCGTCCCCGGTGTCCCCGAACAAGCAACCTCCAGAGATCCAAGCCCCAAGCCTCTATGTTTATTCACCATTTCTTCCTTCTTGGGATTAAAAAAAAAAAAAAATGGCTATTTCAAAGGTCTGGGGGTCTTCCTCTCCGCCCAAGTAACCAGACAAAAGAGCAGTTTAGCTTTACACAATGTTTTTGCCTCGGTGATTTGTACATGTAAGATTAATTCGTCCTTTTCAGTAAGGAAAGTCCACGTCGTTTATTACTAGCATTCTATCTCACCCTTCTGAAACCCCACGTCTGAATGAAATTGTTCACCCTTTATCTCCTGTTGCATTTAAATTCCTATTGTCGAAAAAATCCTAAGTATTGAATAGGCATTGCCATTTCAAACATGAAATAACTATTGTTATTAACGATTGCCTTTTCAAAGATACATATTTACTGAGCAATATATAAGCTGCTCCTAAACTTTCACACTGAGCATATAGCACCATGATGTACACCAAGTAGAAGTCAAATAAATATTAATTGGATATTTGATGAATCACTAAGGTAGTAAGTCAAATTATTCCCAACGTACGTCTGAAGAAATTTATTTTGCACTAGTATAGCACTTTCTATCCTAAGAATGCAGACTTCAACTTGAATTGGTGGTTTTAAAATTCATTTAAATAGTCCGGAAACTGAGGACCCTAAAGTCAGGGCTATAGCCAAGAACACATCGGTAGAGGAAATCTAGAAATACAGCTGATGAGCTGGGTGGCTGAGAGTCTACAGTAGTGTTCAGTAGGTCAGTGGTTATGGAAAAGTAGAGACAACTTCTGCCACCTTCCCCACCTCGTAGTGGTAGGCAGGGAAGGGACAGGAAGGCACATTAGGGTTGGGACCAGTAGGTGGTGAGTGGGTGGAGGCCAGTTCCTCTTTCAGCAAAATAGTGTAGCTGCGCTCTTGGGACCGTCTTTGCTGTCCTTTCCAGTAAGCCCACACTTTGTTCCCGCCCATCTCCTCCGAAAGATCGACGCTAGCTCTACCTTTGCTTTTTGAGGACTGGTTCCCATGCAGGGAGGACACTGCAAGAGCATCCTGAGGCCATGTGGAATAATTGTTCACTGCCAGGAAATGACAGCTCCAGACAATGTTTGTGTGGCAACCCATGACAGTGGCTCAGTTGAGCCAAAACGTCATGCTGGTCTGCAAGAACAGGAAGCAGGGCTATCCACTCTGGCAGTTTTTATAAATGACAGCGAGGCTCCCAAACTAGTGAATTTGCAGACTATATCCCTGTGGGACAGGCAGGTCACACTTCTGTGCTTTCAGCCACGTTCACGCTCAGAGGCAGGGACAGGACGTCGTTAATGCCATCTTTAGGACAAAAGACAATGGTACAGCCCGGCTCCTCCCGTGCCCCAAACGCAGAAGTGCTATAAACTCCTAATTTGGCAAGCGTTGCCTTATAGATGGTTCCAGCCCCAGGAACAATGAGGTCAGCTCCTAGGATGGAAAAACAGCTTCTGGGTAAGAGCTGTGTAGTCCACACTGGGTGGTGGACGGTGTGGGAGGTGGAGCTTGAAGCAAGGACCCGAGGCATGTGGCTGCCAGAGAAGGCACAGCTCCACCCTCCTTCCTGTATTGGACAGAAGGAACCCGGACACGTCAAGGGCGAGGTGGAGTTGAGAGGTGGAAGAAGCGTGTGTTTAGCCCTGGTGCTGGCAAGGAGCTTGAGAGGGCGGAAGCAGAGTAGGATGGAGGTGCGGGGCCGAGGGAAGCAGCTGGACCCACAGCCAGGGCTGCGTGCCTCAGAAGCCCACCTCTTTGGAGGCGTCAGCAAGAAGAAAGATCTTCATGCGGGCGGACTTACATCAGTACACGCTGTCCCTCCTGGTTGCCCCGGATAGTACCTTGAGCATTGTATTGTTTACCTTGGGTGGTTGTCATTCTCAGGTCTCCATCAAAGAATGCTGTTACACGGAATAATGTTAATTTCAGTCATGGCATTCACCGTGCCAGAATTATAAAGCAAAATCGGTGGAGCACCCATCTTCCCTACATGTGGTATTTCGGCACTGGAATGTTTTCAACATTGACATTCAATTTCCCTCTTGTCAACAAAAATCCATACTTCTTTATGAGTTCTGCATGGCCAAGCCATTCAAAAGGGGATTTTCTGCCTGGGAAAGTCAGAGGTCTGTAGGAATATTTTTTAGTCATTTCACATTAGAGTATGTTCACTGTATTAGGGTTTTCTAGAGAAACAGAGCCAATAGAGTGGACAGAGAGAGAGAGAGAGATACAGGCACACGGAGATATCGTGGGCTCAGTTCCAGAACACCGCAATAAAGCCAATATCGCCAGAAAGCAAATCAAAGGAATTTTTTTTGTTTCCCAATGAATATAAAGGTTATGTTCATACTGTCAGGTGAACTTCTTCCAGAATTGGGGTCAGTCCTCTCAAACCCTGCTGCCTTATCAACTCAGTTTCTGGATCCTTCGTTGTCATTTCAACGATATTCACGGCATCTTCACCAGAATACATTCCAACTTGGGATCAAGTTTCATCATGAGATTGCAGCCCATCGGTCCCATCCTCAGGCTCCACTCCTGATTCTAGTTCTCCTACTATTTCCACCCCATCTGTAGTCAGAACGCACACAATATTTGTCAATTAAGTTTGCCATCCTCTATGAGCATTGTTTCGGTGCCCCAAAACAATTGCAATAGTAACATCAAAGATCACAGATCACCATAAAAAATATAATAATAATGACAAAGTGGGGCGCCTGGGTGGTTCAGTCACTTGAGCATCCAATTCTCAATCTCAGCTCAGGTCTTGATCTCAGGGTCATGAGTTCAAGCCCCTCATTGGGCTCCATGCTTAGCGTGGAGTCTACTTAATAATAATAATAATAATAATAATAGTAATATGATAATAATGACAAAGTTTGAAATATCGTGAGAATTACTAAAATGTGACACAGAGACATGAAGTGAGCAAACGATGTTGGAAAGATGATACCAAAAGTCTTGCTTAATGCAGGGTTGCTACAAACCTTCAATTTGTAAAAAACTCATTATCTGCCAAGCATGAGAACGAGGCAGGCAGGTTTTTTTAAATTTTTTTAAGATTTTATTTATTTATTTTAGATAGAGTCATAGAGAGCTTGAACGAGCAATCAGGGGGAAGGACAGAGGGGGAGGGAGAGCGGCAAGCACTCCCTGCTGAGCGCAGAGCCCAACATGGGGCTCAATCTCACAACCCTGAGATCACTATCTGAGCCAAAATCAAGAGATGGACGCTCAACCAACTGAGCCACCAGGCACCCCGGTGGCACAAGAAAGAATTTCTTGTTATAAAGAATTAGCTCACCCTCTGCCCCCACAATTATGGAGGCTGACAATCCCAAGATCTGCAGAGTGAGTCAGTAAGCTGGAGCCCCAAGAAAGCCAAGGGTGCAGTTCCAGTCTAAAGGCAGGACAAAGCTAATGTCCCAATTCAAAGGCAGTGAGGCAGAAGGAATCCTCCCTTCCTGGGAGGTGGGTCAGGTTTTCTGCTCTAATCAGGCCTTCAACTGATTGAATGAGGCCCACCCACATGTGGGAGGGCAATCTGCTTTACTTAATCTACTGACTCAAATGTTAACCTCATTCAGAAATACTCTCACAGGAACACCCAAAATAATGTTTGACCAAATATCCAGGCACCTCATGGCCCAAATTGACATAAAATCGACCATCACATCCACTAACTGGGGTATATCTAATAAGGAAATAGCCTTCACTGTTTAATTTTACTTTGGCAACTAAAGAGAAAATATTTGATGACTAGAGACTGATTAAAAGTCAGATGTTTCTTGCTCCCTGGAGGTTTCATTGTGTGAACTCGGGAAACTCATCTGACTGCTTTGGGCGAGCACTTGTGAATGGTTACAGAGCTACACTAGGATTGTCCATAGAATTCGCCTTTGTATTGTAAGGTGTGGTCAAAGTTTGTGCTTGTGCAACTCTTGAAGAAGTTTTTGAACAGATGGTGTTAGTG